GAGGCCGGGCCGGGGCTGTCGCTGTGCGGCGCGGTGCGGTCCGCCGGGTCTCGTTTGGCCGTTCCCCACCTCCTCTTATTTTTTTTCGTTTCCTTTTTTTCTTACCCCTCCCTCCCCCAATTTTCCCCCGGGGTGTCTCGGCCCCGTGCGTCCCGGCGGGGTGCGCCTCAGTGTCAAAGTCATACGGACGGGAAAGTGTCCTGGAGCGGCTCAGGCTTCCATTTTGAAATCCTCCGAATAATGGGATCCTCCTTCCTCTGGAGTTGTTTGCCCACCTTGACCCCGCAGCCTGCCCGCTGTCCGGCGCTGCGGGGGACGGGGTGTTGTGTTCGCGGTGGGCGCCGGGGCTGGTGGGAGCGAGTACTTTACGTAACTGCCCGAGGCTCGCTGAGTGTGCGGCGAAAGGGTTTGATAACCTACACAAAAATGCCGGAAGACCTGGCAGGATTCAGGTTACAGCTTATCAGAGTAGCTCGGCCTGCGTGAAGTGGGTACGATTTAAAAATCAGTTGTAGATTGCTTCTCTTCAGAATTCATCTATTACAGTATTCATATTAATACCTGTGGAGATGGTAATTTTCCTTCTTCAGATCTTTCACAGAGTGGAAGACCATACTGGCAGGCAATGCTTTTTCACTTTGCATTCATGAGTAATTGCCCTTTTAGTAATTTTTGTTTATTGCACTTAGTTAGAACTCTAAAAAACCCCAAAATATTTCATCTTCTTTCAGTTCCAGTATGGGCCATCAAACTGTTTCCCAAAAACTTCATCAGCTGTATACAAAAGTTGAACGTTAGCAACTCTCAGCCTCTTGTCATAAACCTGTCACACTAGTTCTTTAGGCTTCTCTGGACTTGTTTTGATTTTTTTTTCCCCTCCAAAGGTACAAACTCTTTGAAGAGTGTTTCTCATGTCCTTACACTTGATCTTTTTACTCAGTGGTGTTTGGAGCTTTTTTTTTTTTTTTTTTTTTTTTTTTTACATTATACTCAGAAGGCTTATTGTGTTTGGACTTCAGATTTTTCTTTTTTTCACAGCTGAAGGAATATCAGCAGAAGAATAACCCTGGAGCAGCTGCAGGAACTAAGAAAAAGCGCAGAACTAAGGAGGATGGTAGACCTGAGACCCCCACCAACGATGAGCAGCAGCCTCCAGAGAACGTTTTTTTTTTTTTTTTTTTACATTATACTCAGAAGGCTTATTGTGTTTGGACTTCAGATTTTTCTTTTTTTCACAGCTGAAGGAATATCAGCAGAAGAATAACCCTGGAGCAGCTGCAGGAACTAAGAAAAAGCGCAGAACTAAGGAGGATGGTAGACCTGAGACCCCCACCAACGATGAGCAGCAGCCTCCAGAGAACGTGAGTGTCATTGTTGCTCCCAGATCGTTTGCCACTGGGCTTTGGTGTCCCAAATGACATGACTGGAGCCAGGAAGGGGCTCTGCTGGGGTCACAGCTGAAGGGTGTAGCTGCTACAGCTACACTGCAGCTATGTACCTGCAGCTGGAGCTGGGGTACGTGTGAAGCTGTGTCGGATCACACGGCGCTGTCGTGCGGCCCTGGCTGTGTCCAGAGCTGCTCTTCTCAGGTCTGTGCTCTGAACGAGCTGGAGGATGCTGGTTTCTTTGGCTGCCTTTGATTGACGTTTTCTCTCTGTCCTTTTCTGAGCTGTTTTTCTTTACCCTTTTCTTTCGCCTCCTTTAGATTCAGAACATTCTGAAGGTGCTGGTGTCAGACCTTAACCGCTCCAATGGGGTAGCCATACCCTCATTGGACAAGAGGAAGGTGAGGCAGTGCTCGTGTCCCTTGCAGTGACTTGCTCTCCCTACTGCATGCTCCTGGTTCTGTTTACACTGACCTTGATCTGTCAGATGGAGCCTTGTCTTGACATATCCACTGTCAGTTGCTTGAGGTTTGTTGCTGTTTTTATTAACACAGAGCTTTCTGTTACCATGCGTTTCCATTGCTCCTAAGTGCTTGTTTCCATCTGACTTGTGTCAAACTGAACATGTGAAAAAGTGAGTCTTGTCAAAAACTCTTCCTTGAGATAGCTGAGCTTTCAGTACATCCAGGAATTTGGGGTGAGGCAATAAACTAACTGAACCACTGAGGGAAACTGCACTAGGAAGATTTCTTTGTATTTTTCGGCATGGGGGTTGGACTTGATCATCTCTGAAGGTCCCTTCCAGCCCCTAACATTCTGTGATTAAACTGCTTTAGTTCCTCGAGCCTCATTTCTGAAGGGCACGTTTCTGCTTGTCTCCAGGCAGGCAGCTGCCTTGTTCCTCCAGCCGACCCGTTCTGTGGCAGGTGATGGGACTTGCCCGGGTGATGTATGGTCTGGCAAGTGCTGTGGTTTTAAATATGGCCAGGTAGGAAGGCAGATCTTCAAGTCAAGCATTTACAGGCATTAGCATCTTCATCTTCCCAAGCTCCTGAAGAGGAAAGGGCAAGAAGTGTGCCAATAACAGCAGAAACGTGTTCAGGAGCAAATGTAAACAAACAGTCTTTATTGTAAAATTATCTTCAGACAGTTAAGCTTACTTAAATAAGGCTCAAATTCTGATAGAAACTCAGGGAAGTCAAACTATGTAGCCCAGAATTTTCTTCCAGTTTTGCTGCACCAAAGCTTTGCTTTTCATTTGCATAATTTTGGTAGCTTACTTCCCTAGCGTTGTTTCAATTTAATTGTCATAATGTAACTCATTATTATATTGACTGCATATCCATGTGTCTCCAGCAATAAATATAACCACAATGATCACCAGATGTACCAGACAGATGTAATGAAACCTGCAGAACAGGGTGGACTTCACTCTGAATTGCCTTTGTATCCCTTTTTGTCATTTTCTGTGTGATAACACAGCAGTTGAGTGAACAGCAGAAAGTTCCTCCAGCTGGACCTGGTATGTGTAGCAAAGGTTGTGTATCAGTGGGACTCGAGTGACTTGGAGGATATGTTGCCAGCCTCAGGGGAGCTGGCTGTGCCTGTCCAGCACCAGACAGTGTGTGTTTTGGTTGAAGTTTCACTCTTGTCACGGGGACTGCCATGGTTTTGGGTAGTACTCGTAAGCTCAGTGTGAGTTAGATCTCAGAGAATGAGGCTTGTGTCCCACTGGAAGGTGAGATGAAGATGTCCAGTGCTGTTCCTGAGATGGCATTTGGTCTTGCAGTGCAGGCCTGCCTGTGTCTGTGTGTTAGTCCTGCTCCAAAAATGGAGAACTTATTACTTCTATTCATTCTTGTTTTCCCTTTTTTTTTCCTGTTTCCTTAGCATGGAGAGATACATTTTGATACGATTGGCTATTATGGAATTGGCAGATTATTGTGCCTGAAGGTTTGAAAACTGATACTGGAATTGGCAGATTATTGTGCCTGAAGTTTTAGGAATCGTTTGAAAACTGATATTTAATTGCAATATGCAGTGAGAGAAAGATTTCTCTTTCCAGTTTCTGTCTTGTAAAAACCCTGAGTCAGGAAAATGCTGTTCAGAAACTCACTTGATGCTAATAGGGCAGGAAAGCTGATCATTAGCATCAGAGCCACTGCTGCCATTGGTGTCTTGGTATGAGGCAGACCCCTCCCATCTCACCCACTTCAGCTGTCTTGGCTCTGGAACACAGAAAACCCAGTAAAACAGGAGCCTTTGTGTGAAAGCAAATGGATCCTACTATATGCTAAGCTGAGCAGAATTACTAACTTTTAATTCTACATAATTAGAACTCACAATGCGTAATTTCCAGATAAGGGTCTTGCTTCTAACTTTGTTTCCAACAAATTCAGCTTTTAAAATAGTTTTAGTTTGTTTTATTTTTTTTCAAAAAAAACTGATTATTGTGGAGGAAGAAGGAAGGGGTTCTCCTGGTTGAGCCATGTTACTGGTTTTTCCATCTTGAAGCATTAAGCAAAAAGAATGTCCTCATCGTGACAAATTCAGGAAACGTTTTTGAGATGTACTGGGGCAAATATTCTTCCTGTCCATCTGATGTTCTTTACTGGTGAGTCTGAACCAGTAAACTAACCTGTAGCTGGAAGAAGTAAGGGAATTCCTGACCTTCCTGTAAGGCCCTAACTTATATTGCTCCTTGAGAGCAGAAGTTAAAGGAAAAAAAGGAAATTGAGAAAGTTCTGTTTGTTTCCTTCTGCAGCCTTGCAGCAGACTGCTTTCATTAAATGCCTTCACTGTTACTGTATCCTCCTTGCCACTTGGTTCCTGAGTGAAATGCTGAGCAGGTAAACAGGGAATTCCAGGAGAAGGATCTTGTGTTCCCTGTGAAGTGCCAAGAAGGAAGTGACTGCAGTAAGAGGGAGCTCTTTCAGATGGAAAAAACAGAGCTGACATACATTGGTGGGGCTGAACGCTGACAAATGATCTCATCTGGTTTGTAATGTTGTTAAATGATGACTGACTGGAGCTGGATGATGCAATAAAACTAATTGCCATAGAACACTAGAACACTGCTCTGGGCCTCTGGCTCTCCAATTCTGCACAAGAGAGATGAAATTGTCCAGTTCACTGTGGCTTGGTAGAGATGTCATCAGATACTTTCCATCCTCCCACGAAGGCTGGATGGGAACTTGCATTGCTGTCCAGAAATACTTTTTTGTCCCTTCTGTTTTCCATTTAGATTCTTCTAGTCATGGCATTCATAGCTCCAGGGGGGCCGTGGGCACCTGCTCCCAGCCACACCGAGTTTGCCCTCTTCATAAATGTCCTGCTCCTAAACTTGTGGTTCATGGCATGCCACACATTTCACTGAGTTTTAGGCAGAGCATTTGAGTTTCACTAACCCAGTTTTCAAGTCGTCACTAACCTGTTCCTTCCCATCTTCATCTGCATCCAGAGATTCATGTTTTCCTCAGACACATCTTGAAAGTAGTGCTTTTCAAAGCACAGTGCCTACCATCTGGCTTTGCCCTTGCTTGCTTCTGGCGAGTCCTTGCTGCTAACTCTAGTGTGTGAAGCTGGGGCTGGGTGACAGCACTGCCCCGTGCTACAGGAGCCAGTTGGATGCGGGGACACCGGTTCCTCGGGCTGGCTCTGAGAGGGCATGGGTCTGGGACAGTGTTTGTTCATGGGCTGATGGAGTCGCCTCTGTGGGGAGAAGACAAATTCCCTTCCAGGTGTTTCTGAGTGACTGGGATCTGCCTGGTTCTGCCGGGCAGGGGAGCAGGTGAGGTGTTGGTGTAACCTGTGGTGTGTTCTGTGACAGGCGCACTTTGGCGGTGACGCTGCCGCCCGTAACGCTGACCAGCTCGCTGCCGACGCCCCTGTGCTCCCTAACAGCAGCAGCCTGCCTGGCTCTGCTTCTGCTCTGCCTGCTCCTGCCAGCATGCAGCTGACACAGGTTTGTGAATGAGCAGTATTGCCACGGAACCACTGAATGTTGGTTAGCAATACCACTTTTATTATCTTGAGAAAGATGATCTTCATGAATGTGACATGACTAGTTCAGGTTTTGTCCTGTTAAAACTGCATTCTTTACTCTCCATCCAGTCATTGTCTGTGTGAGAGCAGAGACCACCAGTGCGCACATGCCCCTGTGTCCTCCAGAGCTGTCTTCCTTCCCCTTCTCTCCTATTTCATTAGCAGAAAGTACCTTTAATTAAAGACAGAAGGTCTCCAGTAAAATCAATCTGTGTTTCCTTTCACCAGTTAAAGATTCAGTTATTTTTTTCTAGCAAAGTAACGTGTTGATTATACTGATAAATTGTAACAGCAAACATAAAGCCTATAGTGCTTAAGTTTCTCCATTCCAAGCAACCCAAGCTCACAGCACTAAGAAATTAAGTGTAAGCCAGGAATGAGCTGATGGTTTTAAATTCTTCTTTCTCTGGGAGGCAGTAATTACAAGTACTGTGGAACCTGAGCCCAGGTGTAATCAAGTCTTAGTGACACATCCACAAATGTGACTCCCATCTTCTTTTACAGGCTTCTTAAGTTTTTGTGTTTCAATCCACAGATTCATGAAGCTGAGGATCATAAAAATGCTTTGGATGAGAACAGGTGAGTGTCTCTGTGTTTATCAAACAGCTTCGCTACCCAATTACAACAGACTTAAGGTTTTATTCCTCCCCAGTGCTGCTCTGATTTGGGGACTTCTTTCTCTGGGAGACACTTTCATCACAAGATCTTTCTTTGTTCCCAGGTCTTTATCATCAACAGAAAGCCTCCGCCAGCTGTCTGAGCAGCTCAATGGCCTGGTTTCTCAGGTACGGCCTCCTTTTGATCCATTGGCCCTGTTAATTCTTTTCATGTTTGATGTGGAGCTGTAAGCAGTCAGCTCAAGAAAACTCTTTTCAATCTCAGAGGTGTCTGCAGTCATCCCACTAAACAATGCAATATTTAAGCCTTGAGAAGCAAAAAATCCTGGTTTAGGAATGTAAAATTTCAGCAGTAGGAAGAAAAGCAGAGTGGGATGAATGTACAGTGTGTATTCATGGAAAGATGTGTTCATGATTTAGTGGCAAAAAAAAATACAGAGTAAATCTGCATAGTTCACATCAGCTTGTCACAGTAGGGATCTGCATCTGTCCTTAGCCAGAAAAGTTTTTCTGTGCCTGTCTGTGGTACTTTGAAGCAAAAGGTGCCATAAGAAGTATTATTGTGATATTAGTAGTGATTTGTTGCCTTGGGGAATAAAACTGACCTATTTGGCTGGTTTACTTCTAGTCCACGTCATACGTGAATGGGGAAAGCGCCGTTCCCTCCACAAACATCAAGGAAATGGAAGTAAGTTGTTCTCAAGTCTTTTTTTTTTCCTTCTTATTTGTTGCTGTTGATCAGTTATTGGGGCTCTGTGCTTACAGCAGTGTTAATGAGACCTAATTGAAGGCATAGCTCACATCCATTGCTGTCAAATATCATCTTCTGCTATAATTGGGCAGTTGTGATCAATAGTGGTAGGCAGGTATTGGAGGAGTTTCCATCTGGGGGACTGGGGATGATCTGGCTTCCATGCAATCACAGTTCTCGTTTCTGATTCACTTTTGTGTCAAAATGAAGCCTCAGTAGAGATGGATAAAATATGTTGGCATCCCAGCTGCTTTTTTTGAAACCATAGATTTTGTTTTGTTTGGAGAATCTGGTGACATCAACTGTGGTAATGATTTATTTTTCTGTCCTTTTTAATTATTGCTTTTTTCCTCCCCTTCTGCTCCTTCCTTTTTCTCCTGTCTGCATGTGCCCATCAGACACGTTACCAGGAGCTGGCAGTAGCCCTGGATTCCAGCAATCTAACTAACAAACAGCTCGTTACAAAGATAGAGGAATTGGTAAGAAACAATCCAACCAACGAGTTTTGTCTTTGCTGCTCCTCCATGCTCTCTGGGTGTCTGCAGGGTTATGGGTTCTGTCATAGTGTCACAAGGAAGGCTGCTTACACAGCACTCTGTAAGGAACAAAATGGGCAAAGTCTGAGTCCCCTGGTGAATGAACTGGCTCCTCTGAGGGGCCAGGAACAGAGTCTGGTGGTGGCCATTCCCCTGTGCTCTGTCCATCTCATCAGGCTTTCCCTGGATGATGAGCATCCTGATAAAACAGCTATTTCTGGTCCTGGTCTGAATCCCTGAAATGCAGAATCCTGGTGCTGGCAGCAGTGTGAAAACCTGTTTCTGCAGGTGGTGCTGCTGTTGTAAATACAGCAGCAGAGTGGGAGCAGCAGGTCTGAGGAGAGCCTGGGGCTGGTTTCTGATCGTAGCCTCGGGTTCTCCTGGCACGATGAATGAACTGCTTTGTCCCATGGCCTGCATGTTGCTGCTGCCTTTCAGCCTTCAGTCTTAACACTGCAAGAAATGCAGCTAAGTGGACTTGTTCCAGCCTGAAGAGAGCCTTTCTTGTGTGAAATACTTTTCCCCGTTTTGTTCCTCTCTCAAACTACACTTTTCCCAAAAGTTCAGCAGTTTTCCCAGTGTACCCCATGACCCCTCTTGCTGGTTTATTTTTGGTTTTGGGTTATTTTTGTTCCATTTTGTTTCTTTTTGTCTTTTAGCTGGGGTGCAGAGCTACCTGCTAGAGTGCATTGCCCTCCCAAGATTCTCCTTGTTTGCCTGCTTTTCTGTTTGCCTGGCATGCTGTAGGGCCTTGGCTGTATTTGTGCCCTTGCCTTTGCTTTTTCTGGTTATGTTGTGCACTGGCATTGCTAGAACCAAACCCTCTGACTCATCACCCTCCTGTCTGCAGTCATATTTCAAAATGCATTGGAGTCATAGTAGCTTGGCCAACGTCCACACTTCGGGAAGGGGAGAAAGTACTAATTGTGTTACTTATGAAGCATCTGTGAGAAAACTGTCAGGGGGACAACAGCAGCAAATGGGAAGCACAGCAGCACAGTTTGTGTGGCAGCTTGGGTAGACAGCTGCCACTTCTGTCTCCTTCACCTCCTCTCTAAAGATGCAATATGTACAATCAGCAAGTCTCCAAATACTTAGAATCATAGAGAATCTCAGCTTCACCCAGAAGACTGAAATTGGCTAGGACAGAATTATCCCTTTTCTCTGCATTTGGCTTCAGCTCTCTCTCATAGCACCTTCTGCAGAAGCTTGCCAATGTACGTGCAGCTCTGTGGGGCTTAAAGGCCAGTTGTTAAGAGGGATAAGGCTCTAAGGTCTCATTTACAGGAAAAGACAATGAGTTTGGAGGGGTTTGTTTGTTTTTTTTAAAGCACTTTTGGTGACTACCCCAATATACCAGGATTACCCAGTTAATTTTATAGATGTGGGATGCAAGTTGGTGGCTGCTCAGATACGAGCATACAGGAGTTTCAGTAGTGGTATTTGGGGATACCTGTGGGAAGGTACTGAGCAGTGAAAAACATACTTTATAAAGTATATAAAGTATATTGGTGAAGGGAGCCTCAAATCTGTTATTTTTAATAGCTAAGAGAAACTGCCTACTCTTCTACAGAAAGGATAATGGAAATTGTTTCCATCAGTTGGGCGTGTATTCTGCTTCATTAAAGTGAGAATGTGTTTCAGTAGTATGAGAGGATTTTGCTTTAATACTGATGCATCAGTTTTCTTCCACAGAAACAGCAGAACCAAGAAGCAGTGAATCAGCTGGAGAAGGTAAAGTGTGGCCTGTGTTTGGATGGATACAGAAATAGGTGGCTGTTTCTCTGAGGAGCAGGAAGCACAGTGGGTTGTGACAGACACGTGTGATCTTGTCTGACGCTAGATTTAGTTTAATTTGTAGCATAAGGTTGAATATTTTGCTTTCATGAGTTAGGCCTGGCAGGTTGCATTCTTATTTTGACAAAAGCTAATGTTTTCAAGTACTGGAGGAGTGCAGTGGAGGCCAGAGATTACAGTTCAGGCCAGTAGCTTGCCTTCCAGACACAGCCACGTGTCCAGTAGTGATTGTGCTGTGCTGCACTGCCATGCTAGGATGGATAAATAATGTAGTAGTCCAAACAATGGGAGACTGAATTATGTCCTTAAAATTACTGGTATCATTTAGAAGTTGGAAATACTGCCAATGAATTGTTGCTTTTTTAGTTTGACATAAACCAACAAGGGTTAACTATTTGCATTTTTGTGCTGAATAGGCATCATTTGTTTATACAGGAAAAGAAGGAGTTTGAACAGAAATTTTCTAAAGAGCAAGCAGCACTGAGGGAGCAGCTGCAGGTAAGGCAAAGTATCCAACACAGTCCTATCACCTGGCTTGTGCTGATTTCTGGATTGCTGATCACTTGTAGTCTGTGTCATGGAAGCCATGAGTCTTTCCTTCAGGAGACTGCCAGTCAGCCAGCCAGCCTGTACTTCACTGCAAGAGCTCTTCACCTTCACTCATCTATCCTTTCATGGCAACAGTGTTGTTACAGTTGCAAGCAAAGAAGTTTTGCACCGAGCTGATTTTTCTTTCCCAAAGGTTCACATCCAGACTATTGGAATTCTGGTGTCTGAGAAGTCTGAGCTGCAGACAGCCCTTGGACATACTCAGCAAGCTGCACGGCAAAAATCAGGTAATTGAGACTCAGCTCAAGCTGTTGGTTAAACTGTGGATTTCAACTCACAGCCATGATAGTTGCTGGCAGCCAGCTCACAACACTCAATGACTCCTTAATGAGCAGTACTTGGCACTGTCACTGCTTCTGTCATCATAGCTGCCCCCAAATGGGATCATGTTGATCCCATGGCAGTTGAGGTTCTTTTGTGCATCAGTGAAGCCTTGTCAGCCCTTCTTTGGGTTTCATGACTACCCCAGACTGTTCCTTTCTGACTTTCTTCTGATTCTTTAAAAACTGTTCCCTTTTCTCTGCCCTCCCTCCCACACAGCTGTCATGTTAATGTAGGTTTTACCCGAGCCTGTCATTTTGAGTGAAATTTGAGCAATTAGAAAAAATCCCCAAACAACACATTGCCTGTTGTTCCCCAGAGAAAGTTTCATCATCTCCCTCTAAAAGTGAGGAAGGTGGTTACAGAGCTTCACTGCCCAGAGTTACCTGTAGAGCCAGGAGTGGAACCAGGTCTACCGATTGCCAAGGTTCTGTGCTGCCTTAAGAGCTTGTTGACAAAGTAGAAAGTGCTGTTCAGCCAGTTCCAAAAAGCTTTGTGGTCTGGCCTCAACTGACGCTGCTCTGACTTGCCCAGGAGAAGCTGAGAGCCTGGCTGCTCGTTTGCATTCCTCTCGCCAGCGGGTGTCGGAGCTGGAGCGGACGTTGTCCTCCATCTCCATGCAGCAGAAACAGTCAGAGAAGGTAAGAGGCACCTCTGCTCATGCCTACCCAGCAGCTCTGCCTTTGGCTGTTTGCTTGTCGCTACACTCCTGCAAAGTCTGTAGTCCCTGCTTAGAGGAGAGGCAGAAATTGACCTTGTTAATTGTTAATTAACCTCCTACAGCCCTCTATTCTCCATGATCAAGGCAAACTTCATGCAGGTTTCTGTGACCACTCATCATATGGTCTGGTTGCTGTCTACAGATCTGGCACCTTACCTCATTAGTCTAGCCAGCTCCACACAACAGAAGCCTCAGTGAGACCTTGCCCAAGGAGGGTCTCAATCAGCCAGACACTCTGGTGTGGATATTAATCCTGAGGTTTGCAGAAATAACCTCATGTTCAGTTGGTAGCATCACATTTGAGCAGACCTATTCCTGGGAAGTTCAAGAGTTTCTAAGAAAACCTGTCCTGACGATTTTGCCAAAGTTAGGAGCTGTTCCACTTTAGCTGATATGCTATAGGTGAACTGAAGTATTTTTTTACCATCTTATTCGTTTGGCTGAAATCTGTAGATGAATCAATAATTTCCTTTTTCTCCAGCATAATAAAGATTTAGTGAAGGAGAGAGACAACCTGAAACTGGAACTGTACAAGCGAAGGTAAGTCCCTTCTGCTTGGTACTGCAGAGTAACTGCTCATCTCAGCAGGGGCAGGGACCACAGGGCTGGGTGAGCTGGGAGGTGGGATATTCAATATGAATGAAAAAATAGTCCCTAGATGTGGTGTTTCTGTGATTCCAGCTGTTACAAAGAGCTGGACTGTAAATTTATGGCATGGACATCAGCACACCATAGTATGTAGGGTGATGCTACTTTAAATGTTCTGTTTGTTTCAGCAAAAGTAGTGAGGAAATAAAGCAGCAGAATTCGGAGCTGTCAGAGAAGGTTCACTCCCTGGTCTCCCAGAACTCGGCTATGAAGTTGGATATGGAGGATTTACACAAGAAACTGGAAATGGCTGAACTCATGATTCAGCAGGTAACCACAGTACTTCTGGGATGTGAGGGTAGGTCACACGGCCACTGTAAGGCTTTGCTTCTGACAGCAGGGGCAAGACTTAACTCTCCTTTTTAAAAGGAGGCACAAAATCTCATCAAGACATCCCCTTAGTGACAGGCTTTCAGTGGGGCCTCTGAGGAGCAGGAAGCCTGTATCCTAAGGAGCTGGAGCACTAGATGGGGAGACGTGGTGACATTGGTCTGCTAAAAGAATGTTGCCCAGTATGAGGGGGACAGTGAACATACCAGGTGTGAAAATATGGTGACTTTTCCTGTTTGCTGTTCTGCATTCTGATTGCTCAGTTGTTGTGCTGTCTCACTGAGAAGCCAGCTGAGCAGGGGTGTTTGTACCACCCTAGCAGAAGGGGGTGAGTTGGACAATGGCAACTTGAAAGGTAGCTGGGGAGTTAAGAGAGGCAGCCAGCAAGAGAGGGAATGAGTGAAGCCAGCAGCTACTTCAGAGAGCAAGCTTGGAGGTTCAGGGCAGCCTCCAAAGGAAGGAATGGCTCTTTTTTTCTTTTTCCCCCTTCTAGTTTTCCTCTTTTTTTTTTCTTTTTTTTTTTTTTTCCTCCTTCCAGTGGCTTAAGTTACCCTTGAAATAAAGCCAGCTGCTGCTCTTCTGGGAAAAGTACTGTCAACTGAACCAGTCTTGCTTCTTAGTCCACTGACATGTTCCAGACATTGGCTTTAAATTCCTGACATGTTTCACAACTTGGAAGGTCACAAGTTTTTATACCATTTGATCTGGCTGTATGTTACAGACTGGAAATGCACAAAGTTTCTGAGCCAAACTGTTTGATTGAAGGGCATTTTCTTCATTTAAGTAAATAGTAAATATAAAATAGGTAGGGAGAAGCTGTCCAGCTCAGCCTAAAACCTAAGCTTTTTTTATTGTAATCCCCCTTTTTTGTTGTTGTTGAACTTCACTGTGAGTTGGAGCACTTTAAAGAACTGCAGAAGGTTACAACATGGACCATGTGGCAGGTTACTAACCAGGGAAAGGCTGCACAGAAAATTAGTACTAATGTTTTCCCATAACTTTTTGATTTTTGTTGGCAGTTCTCAAATCAGGCAGGGAGCCTGGATGCAAACCAGCAGTTGCAGATGGCAGTGGAGGAGAAGATGAGCCTGGAAACCCAGGTTGCTCAGGTAAGAGGTTGTATGAAATAGTCCAAATCTTGACATCTGTAAAGAAATTTGTGTGGCAGAAGGATGCAGCCTGAACTTTGCATTAACACTGGTTTCTCCGGGCTTTACTCCTTGAAATGTCACTGCCAAATTAATTAGGCAAATATTATTTTCTTTGTGTTTTATTTTGTTCTGAACAGCTCTCAGAGTCACTTCACCAGCTCCAAGCAGAAAGAGATCAGTATGTAGAGAAACTGAAGGAGGAGGGGAGCATTTGGCAGCAGAGGGTACAGCAGCTCTCTGAGCAGGTAACGTCAGGGGCAGTATCAGAGCTGCTTGTGACAAACACAGGCAGGAGTAAATGTACCCTGAACTTTGCTTTAACTTTCACTTGTGTGGCCTTGCAGGTCCACACAATGGCAGGGGAGAAGGAGAAGCATATGGCCCAAATTCGGGAGCTGGAAGCCCATGTTACAGAGCTGCTGAGCAAATCAGGTAGGACTTCCAAAGTGGGGCTTCACACCTTGGAGCACCAGCTGGTTACCTCTGTCCCTGCTGTGCAGGCACTTGGATACTCTGAAGCTGTGAAGGCATCTGAAAGCCTGGTGACCCTCAGAGACCTTTCATCCTAGCAAACAGCAAGTGAGCTACTTCAGCTGACTGACCCACAGACAGTTAAATCTTTCGTATCTGCCTGACTGTACCAGCAGCCTCTCTGGCCCAGGAGTCTGGGAAGGCAGGATGCTCTTGCTAGGGCTGTGATGGAGCCAGCAGCTCACAGCAGGCTGCTGTCGGTGCTTGGTTTTGGGGTAGTTTTGCTCATTCGTTCCTCTCAGTGCCCTGCAGCAAGGTTTGGGTACTGCAGCTGGTGATACCTTCTGGGTCCTAGAGCCCTATAGGTGGGGTATGATTTGTGTAGATAATAGTGATGTGTATCACACAAAAATTCATCCCTTTGACTGAGCTGCTTTTGACTCCCTTTCCTCAGCAGTTAAGCCCATGGATATTGAGCCTGCCCCACCAGCAGGGCCCACAGCAGCGGAGCTGAGTCTGCAGGAAGAGATCCAGAGGCTGCAGCAGGAGAAGGAGGAGCTGCAGGGGCAGTACCAGGCCCAGGTCCGGGACAACGAGCAGCTGAGCCACCTCAACCAGGAGCAGGAGGAGCGGCTGCTGGAGCTGGAGAGGGCCGTGCAGCGCTACAACGAGGAGTCTGCGGACAGGCAGCAGATCCTGGAGGACATGCAGAGTGACAAGGCCACCATCAGCAGGGCCCTGAGCCAAAACCGGGACCTGAAGGAGCAGCTGGCTGAGCTGCAGAATGGGTTTGTCAAACTGGTAGGTCTCTTTGGAGCATCTTTTCCCACCAGTTCTCTCACTGGTGTGATCCCTGAGGCTGTGGATGCTGAGTGTTCTGCGACACTACTGCCATGCCAGGAAGTTCCCCGTGATTCCTCACTGTCAGGCACTCTCTCCAGAGCAGATTCCTTTTTGTCCTCACCCCCTGGCAGTCACACCGTTTCTCTCCCTGAGTATTATTCCTCCTGCCCTTTTACCCTTGAAGATACCTGTTTTCTGTTCCCTGTATTTGCCCATGGAAGAAGTTCTCAGTAGTCTTCTCCTGCTGCTTTTGCTCTTACCCATCCCAGAGAGGAATCCTTACTCTTGCTTGCTTCTCCCAGTGTAAGAGCTTCCCCCTTGGAGCCTGGCAGACTGAGACACGGTCTAGCCACCGATTCTTCTTTAGCCCTTTCTGAACTCCTTGTTTTTGAACGTCTGTGGCTCTGTTTGGGATATATGCACACCACCCATCTGCTCTGGAGCTGACAGGCTGTGTGATGTGCCAGGTCTCTTCTTGGCACTGTCCCAGCACCAATTCCCCTGGCTCTTTCCTTGCCCTTCTCCCATTTTAAACTTTTTTGTAAGTTACTTACTGCCCTGAACAGTCAATTTCTGGCCCTTGTTTACAATGCAGAACAGCACAAGGAGCAGCACCCTGTTGTATCAGGAACGAACACGGTTTATCGAGAGTCTGGGTTTATGTTGGCTGGGGCTCTTTCCTCATGCAGGGGCATTTGTCTTGCAGACAAATGAAAACATGGAGGTTACAAGTGCCCTACAGACAGAGCAACATGTAAAGAAGGAGCTGGCCAAGAAGCTCGGGCAGCTGCAGGAGAACCTGGGGGAGCTCAAAGAGACGGTAAGGAACAGCCGCTGGGATGGCGGGGCAGGTACAGAGTGGTTTAGGCACACTGCTGGCAACTTGCCAAACCCTGATGGAAGGATGGAAATGGTTATTGTGATGATCAAGCTGGGAGCCTTCCCCCATCGTCTGCTGTCTGAGGTGGGGGACCAGCAGGTGGGGGCAGATGGTGGCTGCCTGCCTAGTTGGTGGCTTTGGGGCAACAGTGACCGTTTGGATCACGTCACACAGATCAGCTTTTCTGGCAGAAAGGGTTTCATGTGATGGTTCCATCTTGTTCTGCTAGCTGGAACTGAAGACCCAGGAGGCTCGGGGTCTGCAGGAGCAGCGGGACCAGTACTACAGCCACCTGCAGCAGTACGTGCTGGCGTTCCAGCAGCTGTCTGCTGAGAAGGAGGAGCTGCACAAGCAGTACTTGCTGCAGACCCAGCTTATGGATCGGCTCCAGCACGAGGAGGTTCAGGGGAAGGTGACGGTGGAAATGCACCTGAAAGAGCTGCAGCAGACCAAGGTAACAGGAGAAAGGGGCAGGTGGAAAGACGGGAGGAAAAGTGCCTAACAACATTTAGTATTAATTCAGTGAAAGGCTGGACCAGATGATCTCTCACAGTCCCTCCCAACTATGATTATGTGACTGCATCCTGTGCCATACAGGTGAACAATATTCATGTGGAGCAGCAGCTTTTGATTTTTGTGCGTCTGTGGTACTCCTGCCTGAAGATGTAGTGACTGTTTGCAGTCTGGCATGTGCAGCAGTGATCTTCTGCTTCTATCTTGCAGGAAAATCTGGAAGCTGTAGCAAAGGAAAACAAAGAGCTGCAGGCCCAGATCAGTCAGTTAGCAGCAGACCTGGATGGCAGGATTCTGCACCGACTAGAGGGTGAGCAGCTGCAGCTGGTCTCCAGGGTGGGGGTAGAACTGGGCTCTCCAGGTGCTACCTCCTTGCTCACCTTCCTCCTTTTACAGGAGATGGAGTTGAAAGTGAAGCAATGACTGAAGAAACCCCAAACCCTTCATTTGTGATCCCAGAGAGGTTTGAAAGCCACGAAGAAATGGTGAGTCTTAGAGGGGTAGAAAAGCCTTTGGTTTTCATTCTGAACAGAAGTCTGAAAAAGGAGGCAGGTTAAAGTGTGGAGAGGTTCCACTGGGTGTGTGGAGCAGGCCGTTTGTCAGCTGTGACCCCTTACCAGCTGTGGCACAGTAATGACAGAAGTTAACAGTTCTGTGTGCATTGCAGCAAAAAAAAAAGACTTGTGCAGCATCCTCACAAAAGGTGCTGAAGTCTGGCAGTGGCTTTAATTATAAATACACCTCAACCTGCAGAGCAGCTCTGATAATCAGTGCATCACCTGTTCATCATCATCTGATGTTCTCTAATTTGGAAGGCAATTTGGAAAGGGTGTCAAGTATCTACTAGATTTTTCTGTTAAGAACAGTCATAATTGGAAAATACTGTGACCAAACAGGTATCATGGGAATAAGGAAAGATGCAGTATCTGCTGCCTGGTTTAGCTCCAGGGCAGTCACTCAGTACTTTGGTTTCATAGCCAGAAAGAAAATGGGATAAACTCTTAGTTTGTCCAGAGATGCACCATTCATGCCTCACACAGGAAAAGCACTAACGTGGCTCTCTGGAATTCTTCTTAGGTTACTTTCCTGACATCTGCCATGTCCCAAGTGGAGAAGGAGCGAGAAGACATGAGGCAGCAGCTGGCAGCTCAGAAACAGCAGTGCAGGAACCTCCTGCAGCAAATAGCTGCTCTTAGGCAGGAGCAGCAACATGTCTCCATGCTGGGTGGAGGTAAAAATTTGGTGCCATGACTATGGAGGCATGCCTCAGCCAGCTGCACTGGCCTCTGAAACAGATCTGCAGGGTTTGTGAGTGTGTTGTGTCCAAGGGGAAACTGAGCATTATACCTGTCCCTTCCAGGTTCCAGTGTGGATACTGTGCCAGTGGAGGTTCATGAGGCTTTGAAAACTGCCATGGAGAAACTACAGGTAAGGAAAGGCTCTCGGCTTCTGTCAGCCCCTCTGGACTGCTCAGCTAGGCTGTGATCATTGTCAGGCTCTCTTACAGCACACACAGACAAATTGTAAGGAATAAGGAGCAGATGTTCCATAATAATAAGCCACTTTCTAAAAAGCTTGTTCCTGCTTGTCTCGCCACAGGAAAGCTTGCAGCAGTAACTCCCCTCCCACCACCCAGAGACTGTGAGCATAAGGGCCTACCCTGACCTGTGGTCTTTTTCTAAAGAAATGCCTAAAAACCAGACTGAGTATCCTCAGCCTGCTGGGATGATGCAGGTGGTCTGCAGTTGTGGAGCCAAGTACAACCAGAGCTGTGCTGTCCAGCAATGAGAAAGTTAGAAGACACTTTGTTTCATCAGCCCTCCTGCTTCCCAAAACGCAGAGAAGCTTTTTTATACCTTCTCTAGCTCTCTCCTCTGTTCCTTTTAGCATAAAGTTAGAGGCAAGTTGTAAAGGCAGCAGGACTTGTTCCCTAGGCTCGGCCCAGTGCGAATGGAGGGGCTGTCTTTAACAGGTGAGCAGTTCAGGTGAGTGATACCAGTCCTTGTGTCCAGTCCCGTTTCACAGAGCTGATGCAGGAGAAGGCAGATCTGAAGGAGCGGCTGGAGGAGCTGGAACATCGCTGCATCCAGCTCTCCGGGGAGACAGACACCATCGGTATGTTGAGGCACCACAAGATGAAGTTTGCTCAGTGCATGGTTGATTTGGGGAATAGAGGGTCCCCAACAGCTTTTGGAGCTGGAGCCCTCCAGCTGCCAAGGAGTTTGTCTCTCCTGCTGGTGCCTAACTGGGCCAGGTCTCCAGTGCAGGGTTGGGTTTGCTGGCTCCTCATGCCCCGTGGTTCTGTGCCACAGTTCTGTGCTCGTAGCCCAGTCTCTCTCTCACTCCTGCTGTGGTGTTGCAGGGGAGTACATCGCCTTGTACCAGAGCCAGAGGGCGATCCTCAAGCAGCGACACCAGGAGAAGGAGGAGTACATCAGCAGGCTGGCTCAGGACAAGGAAGAGATGAAGGCAAGGAATCTGCAGTGGTACCACCCCAGGCAGGGCGGGCCGGGCCGGGGGAGCGCTTGCACAGCCCAAACCTTTGCGTGGTGTTCTTCAGCTAGCTTTAACTCCAAGCTGCTAATTTAGTGATAGAGGCAGGACTGCAAACTGTGGCCTTGTGTCCGTGGGCACGTCTCACAGGCTTTCCTTTACTTTGGTGCAGATCAAGCTCCTGGAACTGCAGGATTTAGTGATGCGTCTGGTGAGGGAAAGAAACGAGTGGTACAGCAAGTACGTGGCGGCTGCTCAGAGCCCAGAGCTGCTGGAGAGCCCCAGCGAGGGCGCGCTGCCGGCGGAGCGGCGCCTGGGGCCCAGCGCCCCCGAGGGGGAAGGTGAGCTGAGCTGCAGCCAGGGCTGGCAGGGGAGGGACCCGAGGGGTCAGTGTGCACACAGAGGGAAGAGTTACCTGTGTGCCTTGTCTGTGTGCCTTACAGGGTTACGAGAAGTGAACCTGGCAGATGAAGCGGAAGAGGCTGCTGTTCATCATCAATCCAGTTTCTCCTCTATTGACAGTAAAGCTGCTCAGCCAAGCCAAGAGGACCCCACAGCAAAGCAAATAATGCAGCTTCTCAGAGAAATCCAGAACCCTCAGGAGAGGCTGGGCTCCCTGCTGGAAAACCCCTGCATTCCCTTCTTCTACCGTGCTGATGAGAACGATGAGGTCAAAATCATGGTAGTTTAAGTGGCACTAAATCTATTTACAGCAATTTTCTATGAGCTTGAAAGGACTTAACAGACTTGTACGTGCCCATACCTCTGCTCTGTGCCCTTGGTCAGGACAGATTCCTAAAGGCATCAGGAAAGAGGGATTGCATCAGATGGAACTCGAGCATCAGACCTCATCTTTGCTTTCTCTTTTTTTCTGTTACTTGGTGTGCTTGGAGTCCAGGCAGACTGAAACTAATGGGGGAAGCAGCTGGTGCTGGCACTTCACCCGGGCCCGAGGGAAAGGGGAGTCTGTGGATTCTGGCAAAATGACATAACCCCTTATCCCCAACTCTGCTGTGAGCAGCAGTGTCTGAGAAGCGGTTCTGATCCATCACTCATGACTCTAATCAGCCTAGTTCTTTCCAGGGCTCCCAAAGTAACTAACTTATTCTGGTAACAAACTCCTTGGACTCTAGAAACAGGTTGGTTTTATTTCATACTGTGTATCTTGAATTCCCCACTTTCCTCTACAGCCTGCAGCTGTGTCTGACACCAGCCCTGTCAGCCTTGAACAGCCCGAAGACTCAGGCTGCAGGTGGCTGGGCAGCACCACAGCCCCATCTGTTCTCTTTGCCAGGGGAAGGGACTGAGGGTGGCCTTCAGAGGCTTTTTGGTTACTTGACAAAGCTTTATGTGATTCTTGGGAGTGGGGTGGAAATGTTTCTGCACTTTGAAGGATGATGTGTTTCACCTGTACGTGTCTGAAGGTTTTATTTATTTTAAAAATGGGAAAAATGAGTAAAAGGAAACCACTTAATAAATACGCTTTGTTTTGAATATCTGGACTCTAGGGGTTCTAGTTCTCCATCACTTAGCTTTCCTCTCCTCCCACCGGGGTAAGGAGAGCATTAGATGGGTGGAATCTAAGATCCCGTGTCCCTGGTTTAAATTCCTGGGAGACACATCAGCAATAGAAGTGGTGCCTGGCACCACCTTGCGGCCAGAGCCCCAACTCTAAGGGGAAAACAAAGCTCGGTGGGAGGAGAGTCCCATGAAGCAGCAGCAAAGCAAATCCCTTGGTTGTGCAAGTGGTGGAGTGAACTGCATGTGGAGATCCTGCAAGTAACTGCCTTAGGATGGTTGGCTTTGGCAACAGACTACAGAAAACCAGAGGGGAGGTTTGAGGGATCTGTCACAGCTCTGTGACTCAGACAGGAGCCTGGCTCATACCTGGAGAAGCAGCACTCCCTGTTAGCACATCAAGATGAGAGAGGCAAGCACAGGAATGCAGTATCAGTTTTGGGGGTTGTCAACAACAAAAAGGGTCTGTTCGTTTCATCCATGTTCCAGCTGGTCAAGCTTTATACCAGGCAGAGCAGAGAGAGCTTCTCATGCCAGAAGCAGATGAAGTGCAAGTTGTTTTTTTTCCAGATGGTTCCTTATGGTGTTTCCCTATACAACTGAAAAGAGCATACACAGAACAATCAGTGCTTTCCTGTGAACCCAGGCAGGGAAGATGGAAGCTGGTTCCTCAGCTCCTTTCATCTGAGGGCTGCTGGTGTGTCTGTTCCTGGCACGTGGGTTTGTGTACATAGTGTATCTGTGTAAAAACCTGTACAGTCCTTGGAGAGAGACTAGGCCTGCTGCAGTGTTTATGGCTGCTCAGGCTGTTCATAAGTGTATCATAACTAATGGGGGAAGAGCTGTCATTTAATTAATACAGATCATTATTATAAATGGAATATTTATTGGGTGTTCTACTAAAGTACTGTGAAGGTTACAAGACCCATGAAGAATGTCTGCAGTCTGTTGCAGAGGTGACTTAATCCTGTTACAAATTTGCTTTCTGAATAAACTTATTCAGATGGGCACTGACTAGCTGTGTTTCTTCTTCTGCATAGAGCACCTTGAAATTTGGCCAGAAAAGCAGAGAATGAATCCTTTATTAACAGCTCCTGCCCTGGCATGGATGCCCTGTTTGTTTCACATCACTTTCCTGAATGTTCTCCTGTAGACAGGCTGCTGACATGCCCAAGACATTTCTCTTGGTTCACATTTTGCATCCAGACCCGAGGTTCAGATTCATTTTTCACTCTGTTCCCTTTAGGAGTGTTTCCCTGACCCTACCTTTCCTTGGAGTGCACAAAGAGCAGATCTACTACTGTTCAGCTGACACAACAGCTTTAAATTAGAGCAACTTGACCACTTCTGCAGCCCTGATTTGAGGAAAAAGAGAAAAATGCTTCTTAAAGGCCATAAGCACCAAACAACAGGAAACAGCTGTTGAGCTGGGAAGAGGAGCTTTGTTTGACAAGGCTGGAGACCAGTGGACAGCAGCTTATCTTGCCTGGGCAGGGTAGCAGGTATTCTCATCAGAACATACTTACCCTTTGACAAACAGCCAGTCAGAGGTTTCTGGTTTTGTAAAACAAGGCTCTAGTATTTACTTGAATAAATGCATAGTTTTTCCTTCAAAAATATAATATTCTTTAAGAATAAGCCTATATATAGCACCAGGGATAGATGCAACAGTTCCAGTGAGGGGAAAAAAAAAAAATAGGAGAGGGCAGAGCAAGCAATGGTTATTGCCTCAGTTGTGTAGAAGCTGAAGGTATAACAAGAAACCACACAAGACAGAGATCAGTAGAATCCACACAGGAAGGAAGCACTGGAGATCTAGTCTGTTTCCTGGACCCACAAGCTTACTGAAGTTTTACCAGGGCACTGGAGATACTCCATGAGTTCCACAGCCAGCTGTGGCCAGGAGCACTCAGGGCTAAGTCAGGCATCACTATCACAGCAACTTAGGTCAGCATCCCCAGTGCCCCTGGTGTCCTCCCCCAGAACTAGCACTGGAGCCCCACTACCCACAGGCTTAAGGGACCTCTTGGGACTGTTGGCATGACAGTGGTAAGTTCAGGAATTACAGAGAAATGTGGTGGTCACTGTGAGCAGCAGCAACCACAAGCCCTGTAGCACCTGCTGTTTTGGCACAGAGTTAGTAGGGACATGTTTACCCACCCTATAGCAGGGGAGAAATCCCACTGCAGCCCAATAGGAGCTGACCATGTGTGTTAGCCTGTGGTCAGGCTGCACTCAGATATGGGCCCAAAACACACCACTTGGCAGAGGAACTACAGCTCCACCCTTGCTTGCTCTGTTCCACAAGCAGCCCAGGTGAAAACACTCTTCTAAGAACCAAGCAATTTTGTGTGCAAAACTCCCACCTTCATTACATCCAGTCACTGAAGCACCTCCTGCATTTTCCTTTACAATGGAGAACAGCCACCATTAACTTCCACATCTGACAGGCTGTTGCACTCTACTGCAGCTCCTGGGCACCACTCTTGATGCAGTTCTGCTCCACCTTCCCTACCAGTATCAACTGCTTGCATGTATAGCTTTTAAGCTCTATGGGATGAAAAGATTAGGTTATAATTAAACACAGTATGAAAATCACCCAGAGAAAGAGGAAGAGAAAGAGAGATGGTTTTATTCTAGTCATGGAGACCTTCATTATACAGAAATGATAGTTTATTTCATCCAATAAACAAGAGTGACAGGTAGATCACAAACTGCATCACAGCTACTACCAGCACTGAGACAGTTCACCCACAAGTCTGGGGTAATACAGTAACCCAACTGCACACAGCAGAGAATTTAACAATCAGCTCAAAAACTCAACATCAGGATTTGGTTAACTTTTTTGGATGTGTGTGTGTA